AAAAAAAAAAAAAAAAAAAGCCTGAGACCGTTCACGCAGGCAAGCGTGAGTCTGTTCGTGAGATCTCAGAAGCAAGCAGTCATGGGCTGTTCACTTCAGCGGACCAAAACCCAAACCACTTGCTTGCCAAGGGCATTGCTCTCTGAGATGACAGAGAGGAGCATCGAAGCTAATGCATATAGCTACAGCCACTCGTCTTTGCAGGTGTTTCTGCGATAGGGTTGAGATTGGGAATTATTCGTCTATCACTAATGCTGCAGCCAACGCATTGCGATGGCACTGCACTCGTGTTTGGGGTCTGCAGTAGCTTCGGTTGCATGTTCTATGCTTCGAATCCCAGAGCCGCTGACAGGTTTGCACACCATCGGGGAACAAAGGGTCGATTTTGCATGTTGCTCTTGTGTTTGTGCTAATGCTTGCTTGAGCCATAAAGCAAAACTCATAGTCGCAGCTCTCATCACTCCGAATTGGCGGGACGCTTAATTTGGAATTGAACGCTCGCATATGTAGCTGCAAGCCAGCTCAAGTTCATGTAGGCTCGAAAAAGTTGGCCGCCCGCTTTGATACTAGACAGCACGTTCCAACAATCCTGAATCTTGTTAGTGGCAGCCAGTGAAACTCTGGCATTTGACAGTATATGAAGTTCATTGGTAAAGTATGGGTGCTTCCGCTGTGGCGGAGCCGTGCGTGGACTTCGCGTGTTTGGCATGGCCATCCGAGGCGCCGCATTAAGCGCACTGGCCCAATTCTCGCGGCGGGAGCAGGCCCTGGAGCTGCTGCAGGAGATGCCAAAGCGAGGCTTGCGACAGAGAGTTGCTTACAGGGACCCTATTCGAGACCGAAGTGTTTTCCAGCTCCCAAATTTCGTGCGGAAGGGCGTGCTTGGTCATCCCATGCAGATGTTGGTTCTGCGGCCGCTTAAGCTTGGCAATGTGTAGGCCTTGCATGCGCGGAAAGGGCTCTAGCGTGCTTGCGTCGATGCACACTTTGTTCATGAAACGGGGCGGCGGTGGGCCTTTTCTGGTTAAGTTTGCCCCAGCCGCCGTGCGATGCTTGTTAGATTTGATTTCATGCTCGCGGGGTTTGCTGGAGATGCTGCGGAACGCTTCTCTGGCCCTCAACGCTTGACCCCCAGAGTGTCCGCGCAGTGCCCAGCCAAGTCCTGGAGTGCAATTGGGATGCCCAACCATCCCAACCTCAGAGTGCCTACAGAGCCCAACCCCGGCGTTCCCATACAGAGCCCAACACAACATTTCTCAAGGCTTGTACAAAAGAGTATGGAAGTATTTTAGACAAAGCTGGGGGTGGTGATGTTTAAAGTAACAGAACTTGACCGCTACTGCTCGGGCCGCCTCGGCGGGGATGTAGGGCAGAAGAGGCGAAGGAGAGCAGGGCAGTGCTTCAAGTTGCCGACACATTTGCGGTCGCCAATGTTGGTGTGACACACGTTGCTAGATCTGCACCTGGATTCCTTCACCGTAAGCGCCAGGCTGTCTGACGGGAATCTCGTGTAGAGAGAGATGGGCAAGGGGGGTGGTAGGGGTGGCAGTGGAGGGTTGAGGTCTCAGATGTTGAGAAATCAGCTACCTTCAGTATTCAGCCCCACAATCTGCCGGACCCTGCATGCTGGCACACCCCCGTGCAGGGCCAGGCCACCTCCAACCGAACCGCAGAAAGCCAAACGAAGCCCAAAGGCCCCTTTGAAGGGATAATGCATGGGAGGACATTATAATCATTATAGCAAGTGTATATATATATACATACATACATACATGCATGCATACATACATACATACATATTTACTTATTTATAAAGGCCCAAAACTTGAAAGTGGAGCAAAAAGTCCTTGCAGGCATTGAGCCTGTCATCGTCAGCTACACAGCGGCACCTATGTCCATGTCAACTTGACACCAGGACTCGCGTGCTCGGGTGTGTGATGCCTGTGCAGTGCCATGCTAGGTGTCAACGCTGCACTTGATGCCTGCGGCAAAGACGGCTGCTGGGAAGAAGCCCCTACCTCTGCAGTCATAGGGAAGATTTCGCCTGTGCCTAAGCTTAACTAGCAGCTGAGTTCTGAAGGCATTGGCCCTGCTGCGGGGTGCCGAGCGGGACAATCTCCAGCCAGCAGTGGTGAGTCGCCAGACTGACTGGCATCTTTAGGCTGTGGTAGTGTCGTGCAAATTGGTGTTGATGAGGTTATAGTGCCGCCATCAGTGCCTGCGGCAATGGCTCCCAGTGGGCTGTGGCTCTAAGCGCCTCTCCTGACAACAGCTCATACAACAATCTGTTCGAGAATCGGGCGAAGCTGAGCAGCTGGAAACATGTGCTGCAAGGTGTTTTCTCTGAGATGCAGATGTTGACGATTTCTCCCAACGCGATCAGCCACTCAGATGAGCTCGCGCAATAATTCAGCCTTTGGGTTACAGACTCCTGAGAGATTGTGTGGCATACCTGCATCACATTTGCGTTTTCTGACAGCCAGCACACCGCCGATAGCCATACTGAGCCAATGGTGCAGGCTACAGTGCGGCCATGAGCGCCTGTGAGAAGGAGTGGCAGACGGCGTTGGCCTTGTGGGAGGAACTGGAGACAACAGATCTCAAGGCGAGGCCTTGGAATCAGACCCCTTCTTTCGCAATTCATTGCTAGCAATTGCTTCAGCTGGTAATAGCCGGAAGTGGCTCGCAGGCCGACGTGGTGTGCTTCAGCGCTTTGATATCAGCGTGCGCGAAGGGCAACGAGTGGCCGCTGGCGCTTCAGCCACCTGGGCTTCTTAGAGCTTTGCATGGCCCATCCTAGCCCCGTAGATTCCGCGTTCTGAAGGCAGTTCCACCAATGTAGAGCAGACATTGAGCCGAGCTAGCTTACAGCTGCAAACACACCTTGGGCCGAGGCTGCTCGACCGCATGGAGTCAGAACACTTACAGCCCAACGTCATCTGCTTCCTGGCATTAGAAAACAAAGAGGGAGAACAGAGTTGGTGTTTACCTTTGCATTGATTCATGTCGGGTGATTGAGTAAGATTGACTGGACACCCGCAGTTCTAGCCTCCGACATGCATGTGATAGGACTTTCTTGGAGGTCACGGTACAGACTTTCATGCAACAAAACGGTCGTTTTAGCAGAGTTCACGATAGCATACAGGCATGGAGACTGGCGGCCTTGTTCTCTGCCCCATGTGACAAGGCTACAATGCGGCTGCGAGCGCGTGCGG